ATATTTAGAAAGGCAAAATTAAATGTACAGATCTGAGAGAGGGGATGACTGGTTAAGCAGCAGGGTGCCAGAAGGGGAGAATATAGCAAATGTCTGTCAATGATCAGTCATGCAATACTGCAGCACAAAGACATCTGTCATTCTCATTCAATAGCAGGAATACAAGACAGAGGAGGTTGTAACTCCTGTCTGCTAGTGCCTCGGGGTCGCCCTGCACTGTGTGTTTGAAGCTGCAGAGAAGGGCTGAAGGGGAAGAATGGGAATAGTGAAGGCTTGGAGGGCAGGACCTGGAAGCAACATTTGAACCAATGGATTAGGTTTGGTAAAAAAAAATTTAAAAAGGGAAAGGAGCAGTTACACAGCAACATTTTCTTGCTCATCCAAAGACTGTTATAAAAAGGGTAATAAACCACTGTTCCCTGTGTCCACTGGGGAGATGGTTAGGAGTAACTGGCTTGACTTGTGGTAAAGGAAATTTCCTGTATAAGGCCCATTAAGCACTGACATTTACAGGGAGTCTGTTGAGTGCCTGTTGGGGACTTAGAAGATCACCCTGCGTGAAGTGTCACTAATGGTGTGTCACCAAGGGGTGTGTGTGATCCTGCCACAAAGCAGAAGAGATATCTTTTCTGGGTTCCTCCAAACCCTGCATTGTCATGACAGATTGGCTTAGGACTGTACTGATTGTCAGGTTGACACTGGAAGGAATTTGTCCCAGGTCACAGTGCCAGGGGTTTTCCTCAACAGCCCGAAGTATTGTTTGCTTGCTGGAGTCAACTCAGTGTCTTACTTGACCAGTTCACATAAGGGTGGCCTGATAATTTGATAATGCCTTTGCCTTTCCTCTTCTCTACCTGTGGCAGACTTTATTCAGTTTTTTAGACATGGAATGGCCAAAATGCTCTTATTTCTCTAACGGCAGGTGTCAGCAGGACCATGGTACTCCAAGGTTGGCAAAGGTTTTCTTTAAGGATAATTGATAGAAAGGGAAGGAATTGCTCATCAGTTTGTGTACAGTCTGTGTTGTGTGTGGCAACCCACAGCTGAGCTTTGGAGTGATCTGTGTTTTCTGTAGCACCTGCCACTTCAGAAGAAAAGCAGGCAGATCCTGCCTGTGGCTCCCTGCACAGTGCTCAAGTCAGCCTCATGGCCAGGATGATTTTCAGCAATGGTATTTTGTCAATGTGAGTGACTAACAGCCTCCATGCCATGAAAATGGATCAAGAATTCTTTCTTTTGTAGTAATGACATCAGAAACATAGGCATTTTCAAATCAGATTGGATAAATGGTCTAATCTCCTGCTGGACAGGAGCCATTACCAGCTGTCATAGACAAAGTTTATAGTATTCCCTTGCTAAGAATGAATGGATTATTCTCCCGCTATCCTGCTGTAAATAGCAGTGAACATGCAGGTTTTAATCTGTATTTTTCTATGAGCAAATAGGAGTCTGAGTTGTCTCAACTTCTTTAGAAGTGAATGGGCTTTAAGAAATAAAAAAATAAAAAGTGATAGGCACTTCTGACAGCAATGAGTTTCACACACTAATTTTGCACTGCAAAAATAAAGCAGGTTAAATATCATACTGAAAAAATAGCAGCAGATCTTTGATTTTACGAGTTCCACCATGATCAGGCACAGCAAGTGACTTGCTTCTCTATATTTACTTGTCTCCTTTCTGCTGTTTACACACACTTTCCTTTGTCATGTGGTTCTTAATCTTACTGTATCATAACTGAACTTTTGCTGTGAATTGTCTCATGCAGCCAAATCCTGGGTTGATTGTCATGTGCATCAGGAAATAAAATAGCTTCTTGCCACTATGCACATAATTGCCTGGTTCTCTCCTCGAATGCTCCACCCTGCACAGCATGGATACTGCTAATGACAGGAGGTTATGCCACGTTCATGGGCCTCTGGGAGCAGAGAAAAGGCCAGTTCTGAGCAGATGCCCGACTTGATTGCAATATCATGAAGGCTAATTACTCTTATAAGCATTCCTGGAATACAGAGATCAGGAGAAAAATATCACAAACACTATTAAGGTGTCAGAGGTGTTGAAAGAAAATTTAAAGGATTAAGAGACAATTTCTGTGTTCTGAAATTCAAGCTAACATCACTGAGAGCTGCTGACAGTCATCTGAGTGCAGCTTCTGATGCCCTTGAGGGACTCTGTTCAAGCTCTCTGCAATATGTACCTAACTCAGTACTACTGACTTCTTTGAATGTGCAAGAGCACCCCAAGAATATCAACCTACTTTCTTTTGGGGGCTGTTGATTCCACCTCTCTGTGTAATGGATATAAAGAAGTAATTGTGACACCTAACTGAGTAACAATAGTAGAAAACTTGAACGGATCTCCATCAGGGAGAGGTATTTGGAATAGGCAAACCCTGAGGAAAGATCTTCACATGGAGAGTGCTGAAAGGAGTTGGCTTGGGAAAAAAAACCCTGAGCCCATGATAGCACTTATGATGCTGGTCACCTCCAGACAAGGTTCCTGCAACACGCTGTGTTAGCACAGATGTGAGGACTCAGGATTTCTGATGGGTGATGGGAGCGGACTCCAGCCACTGAGCCTTCACCTCTGTATTTTCTGCTGGTGTGAGAGGCTGTCACTTGGCTCCAGCTCCGATGCAAAGTCTCTTCACTGTACTTATCAAGGGCAGAGCTGCGAACTCAGCTGCAGCTGCCCCTACACAGCTTGAGCAGAGCTCACTAATGAGCACTTGGACGGACGCTCTGATAGGGGCAAGCTGGGACTCTCCCTTCAGATAGGATCTGGACCAGTTCTGATCCCAGCATGGGCATTGTGTCAGCAACCCAGATGGTGGCTCTAGATTTCAGGATGGCTCAGACCCACGCTAACCACAGCACATGTATGTGTCACCTGCATTTGTCTTCCACGTGCAGCCCAGGGCATCACTGGGTTCAGCCTGCAGATTTCAGATGCTGGAGAACCTCATTTGTTGCAGGGTAGTCCTGTCCCAGCAGAGGACATCTGAACCACTTGTTCTAACTGCTCCCAGGTTTAAATGGCAAAACCTTTGCACAGTGTTTTCAGAGGAGAAACTGTCTTGAGAAATAGCTTTCCCTATCTCAAGAGAAGTTTGTTTGCCTTAGGGGCAAGCTGGGAAGCATGACTGTTTTTTCCAAGTATTTGGGAAAGTAGACTCAAGAGGAGGAACAGGAGTTAAAGGAGAGCTGTGTTGGACATACAAATGAAAATGTCTTGTTGCCAGACAGTTTTAAAGTGGCATTTAAAAATACCCTCTCATTTTAAACATAACTCATTTTCTGTTCCCAGTATGAGACAAGTTGTGCATGTGTTTCTAACCAGCTTCCCTGAACTCTGCATTTCCCACTTAGAATTAAAACTCTTCACTAAACCAGCTCCTTCATCTGAAGCAGCTATTGGTGGCCATCATTGTCAGCTGTAGCTCATGATCCCAGGGAAATATTCCTGGAATAGATATACTCAGCACATTTTGTACATGATGCCCAGCCTTGGAAATCACTATTCTCTATATGTGCCATTGAACCTGTCTTTTTATCGTTAGCCATTTTATTCTGGGCCATTCTGAATGACACCATTCTTTTAATGCCAGAGAGCAGAATTGGTTCCACTTGGAGACTTAGGATTTCTGTTGTGCAAGGAGGCCACTCAAGACTCTTCAGTTTCAGCTTATGGACATGAAACTGGCATTTTGATGTATTCTTGGGTGGATTCCTTTTACGTTTCATTTTTCATTCCTCTGAATAGTGTGATCTAGGTAGAAAACCTGTTCACAGAGGATTAATTACTCCTTGCTGAGTATCTTGCTGAATTTTCATGCTCCACAGTATAAAAAAAATTATGAAACAGAATTAACGCTGTGTTTTTCCCAAGGAAGTATAATCAGAATACCCAATCTGTGTAATTAAAGTATCGAGAATGCTGTTTGTTTTCTGGAATAGGTGCCAGGTGGTCACAGATAGAGTATTCAGTAAGCTGTAGGATAATCATGCCCATTCATCATGTTTAGGGAGTGATGTTTAGGGAAATATATCTGCTGTGCTGCTTGAGCAGGAACAGATATACCTTTGAAAACCTCAGCAGAACCTGCTGAAGTGCTTGCCCCTGTCCTGAACTGACAGATGCCCAGAGGAGTGTGTGCTGACAGGCCCAGTGACAAGTCATCCTTTTCCTTTCAGTCTGATTGAATTCCCAGATCTGAAAATCGAGCGTTCTTAATGCTTTTGGTCTAACTGAAATGTCTCTTCTAAACAGTAAGCCATTTATCTGAGTTCTAATCTCTCCTACTGAGCTGTCACAGTTAAAAGGCAAATCTCCTTACCAGGCAGACAGATGCTCTGAAGGTGTAGGGAGGATTTCAGTTTTAATGGAGATGTTTTCATCACCCTGAAACAGAAGCACCACAAGGACCCAAATCACACGTTGCCTTCAAGGGCTTGTCTGCACCCCACAAGGAGACATAAAGATAATTTGAGGTTGCCTGGCTGAAGGGTAGATGTATGGCACTGCACTTGGACTAACTGGGCAAATGGGAAGGGTTTCATTTGTGCAGGGCCAGTGATGTACTCGTGTGTCTTGGGGACCTTTCAGTGGCACTGCTGGTGTTGTTTGGAGATGTCTTAGTGCTCCCTGGGCTGATGGTGTGCCATAATGCAGAGTGCTGCATAGCCCAGGCACCTCTAAGGCCCATCCTTGGTGGCAATGGTCCTGTCACTACTGAGGGAGATGCCATGGGTAGGTGAGGAGTCCTTAGGTGTGGGGCTTTGCCCCCTCTCTGGAGCATCCCTGCGGGAAAGTGAGTGATGGAAGTGCTGGGGGCACTTCTGAAACTGCCTGTGAAGATAATGGTGTTAATTTATGCTTCTGGGGTGGAAACCACCTGCTCTTCTAGGAAGGATTTCAGAAGACCCTGCTGAGGGCATGGGACTATGTCCTGCTTATGCTGAGTTCCCTGTGCTGACTTGAACTGTCTTCTTGTTTGTAAGGTCAAGTGGCAGAAGGATGACATGGACAACCATTTGAACTTCTTTTCTGTCTCCTCAGATGGACGCATTGTTTCATGGACTTTAGTTAAGGTAAGCAGTAGGTGGCAAGTTCAATGGTACATTGGTTTTATTTTAATTTATATTAAGCCAGGTTTGAAAAGGAGTGGCAGCAAAAGATTGCAGATGCTATCACAGCTAGGGCTGGAGCTTCATGCTGAACTCTGAAATGAGCAGAATCAGCCCACTTTTTGCTCAGGACCTAACCTTCATTCTGCCTGCACCTGTAGCACTCCATGGACCTGTATACAAGACGTAACTTTCCTGCTTTGCAACTGCAGGCATTCAAGACTGGTCCTTGCTCTGAAACTTGTCCCAGGAGGGTCACTCAGAGACAGAGCAGAATAATCTACCTTCTTCCTCACCTTCAAGACTCTCACCTCCAAAATGCTCCCTTGCAGATTGCAATTCAGAGTGGCACAGGGAAAGTGTAAATTTCTCCCCTCGTGTTCAAACTAGCAGAGTAAGCTTGTGTTTGCAGCAGGATGGCAGCATGCAAGCAGATAGGTGGAAGGTTTCCTTCCCGCTGCCATGATGTTGCCAGTTCACACCGAAGACAATCTCTGTTAACTTGTTTGTCTGACCTTTGATAATTTTAAGTTTTTTTACTATGAATGTTGATAGAAACTGAGTGTTAGTGTCCCTAAATGACCCTTAGATTTGTGTCTCTGAATCCCAACTTTTTTTTTTTTTTTCTGTTGGCAATTTTATTTCACATTTTGAAGATTTAAAAATATTTTACTTAAAAAATAATTGAATTGCCTTAAATATGTGTTTGAAGCAGCTGTTGCATTATTCCCCATCAACCAAAGGAATTTATTTACATCTTTGGGTGCTCGGTTTTTTCAGCCCTTTATACCAAGCTACTCAAGGCTTTTCTGTTCTGAAAATTTTAGGCTTTCCTGCTAAGGGCAGGGAATTCATGTCTAACATTATATGTAAAACTTAGTCTCATGTTCACTTCAGGAGTGGGAGCCTCTTCTAATGAAGAAGGTAGGCACATGCAGGTACCACTGATTATTCAGAACTTTTTATAAACCCCTCCAGGTTAACACATTCAGCAAGTGTGTCCCAGGTCCTTCTCCCAGAAAAGCTCCAAGAGCTCCTAGAGGGGGACTGGCTAACATTGTCCCAGCACTCAGCTCCTGTTTTATCCCCTGTGTAGAAATGCCCCAAAGATTTATGTTGAAGTGGGTAATACATCCCTACAGCTAAACATATCCAGTTGAGGTGACTTAGCAGGTCACACTTACCATCTGAGCCCCAGTAACTAAGCGTGCTTACCCTGCTCCACTTAGGAGGCAAGAAATACTGGGTTAGGCCTGTTACTTCCAAGAAATGCCACAACTGGAACAATCTACAACATCAGTCTGCATGGGCTCTGATGGAAACTCCCCTGGTTAGAGGGTCTTTCTCAATGTGTCTGTGATTCATCTGTGCTTAACTGTGTTCCCACATTGTAAGCTAGGGTTTTTTTCTGTCCCTTGATCACATAGATATACCTACCTAGGCATCCTTCGTGTGACTTCTAAGATCTGCACCCACCTAGCACAATGTCATTTCTAATAATACATTGCATTTTTGTTAGAAACTGGGCCATATCCATGTGAAAAGCACTGCTTTAAGACTATTTTGAGGTGAAGTTACCTCTGGAATTGTCAGAGCTGGTATGTGCTTAGTGAGCAGAAGTGGAAAACAGCAGTATTTTGGGTGCTGTCTCATTTCTTTTTTTGGATGGAGATTCAACTTGGAAAGCAGGAAACAAAATTAAAAGGGAATTTTGTCACGATCTGTGGTTTTGTATCCAGCAAAGAGAAATGGGCAATCTGCTTGAATTCCAGTTTTACAAAAGAGCTCAACATCTCTGGGTTTTATTTAGAATGAAATTGAAGAGTCTCTAGAGGTTTTCTATTCTGCAAATTCATAGGGCAAATAAGGAATAAATAAAAGAGAGCTTTGTTAATCTTTTTGACAGGACTATCCAGAAGTGAAGCTTCTTCAAACACTGATAGCTGTTTGACAATTCCAAAGCTGAGAGCAGAAAGTGAATAAATTTTATTCTTACTTCCAGCTGGATATTTGGCAAGCCACACTCAGAATTTGGATAAAAGAGTTGTCAATGCTAGCTAGGGACAGTTGATCTGCCTTGACTGTAGTGGTCGTCTCTGTTAGAAATGGGCCCAACTTTGGACAAACTTCATGACACAGCACATGAGCTGTGTGTGCTTATGCAGAGTTTTGGATCAGCCTGAAGGAGTAAAATGTCAAGGAAGGATGCAGGACTTCTACAGCTGGGTGACTCTACTCTCCCACCTTGGGTGCACACGTTTGCCTGTCAGAAAAGGGGAGCTGTCAGGGCCATGTCAAGGAATTGGTTTGGATGCAGTGTGGCTCTGCTTCTCAGGCGGATTCTCATCAGTCCCAGATCTGATGCACCTTCGTAGGTGACCTAAGACCTAAATCACTGAACAGCTCTGGGCCTCCTTCATCATGGGAGGCTAATAACAACTACTGAGAAACAGACAGCTGCAAGGCCTAATTCACTAGTGCTTACAAAGTGCTTCACAATTGCTAGGCAGAACCAACATATTATTGTTGAATATTCCTGGATGGCCAAACTGTGGACAGTCTGTTTGCCCAGAGGAATATGTGAATGGGTCTGGCAAAAAAAGAGCCCCATGAACAGATGCATTTTCCAGACTGAAAATCTGGGTACAAAATACATGCAGCCCAGCAGGGAAGTCTGCACAAGTAGCATCCTTTGCAAAGGCATGAGGCTACAGAAGCTGTCCAGAGAGGCCTCAACCAGGTGGAGGTGCTGGGAGGCATCTTCAGGGAAAGGCTGCAGAAAGATGTGTGCTTGGAGAGAAGGTCTTGTGTGGTTTGCCTTTCTACGGGTAGAACAGAGGGTACATTTGCTAGCAAATCTCTGGGCCTGCCCAGGTCATACATCTCACTTCTGTTAGACCCACTGGATATGCCAACATTATGAGCTCTGGGCAGCTCCAAAGCCGCTTTTCAGACCTGAATCTTTGGCCACCAGTCAGGACTTGGACATGATAGATATTCTCTGGAGTGCAGGCAGACCTGGGAGCCTGAGCTGAGGCAAAGCCTGCTCAGCATGTCCTGACTGCACTTCAGCAACCCAGCGGCACTCCTGTTTGGAGGGGCAGCAAGTGCTACATGGAATATGTTTTCTCCCTGGATGCTCTGGACACTGCTCTTTCCAATTCCTGCACACATATAGCAGCATATATGGCCACTTTCTTAGCATCACTCCTGCCTTTTACCCACTGAATCCGACTTGATGTAACCCACATACTGTAAGAAGTGTTTTGAGGGTAGAATTCTGCAGGCAGCAGGATCCTGTCCTGGTTCTTGTTCCTGCCATTAATAGGCCAGGGCATGTGGGTGTGTGGCAGTGCAATTTAGTGAGAAGGAATTACGTTATTTTATGGATTTGACCTTTATTGATCCATATATCAATTTGGATCCCTAAAATATGATAAAAATGGCATACAGAAAGAACTCTGTCACCCCTGAAGTGCAGTACTGAACAGATGCTCTTAAGTCTTGTCCTACCTTGCCTAACATGCAGTTCCCTGGGACTGACTTGGTGAAACAGAATGTGTTTCCACCTGAGTCCTGCTCTGTGCTTAGAGAAGCTCCAACTAAAGCTTGATTCACTGAGCTAAGAAGTTATGTTTTGTTCTCACAGTGCTCCAGTGGGAAATCTGTGGATTCATGAAAACATTCAGTCCTCAGCCCACACTGCTCACTAATTTAATCTTTAGTTCTTTGTTCTTTTTATCAGCCCCAGGGTATTCTTATATTCACAACCAACTCCATTCTGCAGTGGTATTTTAATTCCCAAAGCTAGTCTAAGAATGGATCTTTGCCCCCTCGTCGTTTCCTCATACTCACCCACATTGCACCTATTTTAATCTGTTTTCTGTCTCCCACCTCGACTGTAAAAATTTTGGGGACACAACCTTTTTGCCCTGTGTTTACACAGCACCTAGCACGACAGTGTCGTGGCCTGCAATGGGAACCCTTCAGAGCTCTGCTGGTATCAGCCACATGGGGCACTTTTCCTCTGGGGGAGCTGCTTGCAAGATGTTGTTTCTATTTGAATCTCAGATCCTATGAGGTTGTGAAAATTGGGGACTGAGGCTGCTCTGGGGATAATAAGAAGCAAAGACTGGCAAGGTGGTAAATTACCATCATTAGTATGGGTTTTAGTTAGCCTTGATAATATGCAATACATTATCTTGAACCATGCAATGATTTAAGCTGCCAGTGTCAACCTCCACTCAGAAATTACCCCCAGACCCAAAGCTTTCCAGGTCAGCTGCATGTGTCTGGGTGACCAGTGGTTCTCAGTTCCAATGCACCAAAAACATTCCTTTCCTGATTGTTTTTATGTAAAACAGCCTGTTAGCAAGTTGCCGACTGCAAGGATGAAACATAAAGCAACTTTTGGACAGCTTTTAAAAATTCCTTCATAAAATGTGCTGTTTCAAAGTACTGAATGCTTCTGTATTGTTGCTGTAAAGCCTGTTATTCATGTGGAATCTCCTCTGCCTGCAGAATGAGCTGGTTCATACAGATATCATCAAGCTGTCAGTAGAGGGAACAACGGTGCAGGGGCCAGAGGAGCTGCAGCTGCAAGTGCTTGGTAGGAGCCCAAGTCCTTGCCATTCTGATTAATTACTGACACAAAGCCTCTAATCAGTCATTCTGGAAAATTAAATTGGGAGTGTGGTGTTGAGATGGAAAGGAGCTAAAGAAGGGTTACGCCTCTGTGCTTTCATCATGTAGTAGGGCAAAGTCTGTTTGGAGCAATGGCTGCTAATTGAGTCAAGTTTAGCTGCTTACATCTTGTCTTTCCTTGCAGAAAAAGATTAATATTAACTCAAAAAATGTCTGTTTTACTGGGATGCCCCAATACTGACAAGGCACAGGCATTACCTATATTTGTCTAAACTAGTCAGTTTTATTCGTTCTACCAGACATTGATCTGAACTGGCTAAATCAATATGAAAAGCAACCTTTGCCTTTCCTGGGTGCACAGCTCATCCAGCCAGTGGGTGGGATGTACCTCATCAGGTTGTGGCTCTCTAAAAGCATAGCCTCTATTCTAAGCTACTATATTAGGCCCCCTCCATACAAGGTGAAGACAGTAGAGAATCCCCTCATCCTGACCATCTTGCATTTGAGATAGATGGGATGAGTCAGCTCTGGAGGTCCTGGATTACACTGGAGCCTTGAGAAATCCCCTAATCATCCTACTGCATCTGCGTTTGGCTGTGAGGCTGTAGCCTGGGTTTGGAGAAGGCAGTTGCCCCATTTTTAAGGATTGCTGTGTTTTTAGACTAGTAACTAACTGCTGAGCAGTTTGTGAGGAAGTTTGCATTGTCACACAGGTTGCAAGACACCAGCTAATGTAGTACACTGCAGCAGTCCCAGGGGCTTTGGGATTATTTGTTAGTGTTACTGGGAAATGGATTTTCAAAGACTTATCTGGAATATTTAACAATCTATTCAAATGTTAAAAATGCAGACAGTATTACAGGGTTGAAACGACCTTAACAATTCCTCTGAGGACTATATTTTGTTATCACTTAAGACATAACAGTTACGACAGCTGCCTCTGCATAAAGTTCCCTGTAGCTATGTACTTCTGAGCCTTGTCTGCTTGTACCTCCTTCTCATCCCATGATTGCTGCAGGCATCCCTGCTGGCCAACATCCCCATGTTGCCGGGCACTCAGCAGACGTGCCCCCTTCGGCGCAGGGACCCTGCTGAAATTTTCTTTCAGTGCCATGCCAGTTGGCTTTCTTGGATGATGTTGCATCTGCCTTGGGAGCAGAAGCCAGAAAATACTGAGAAGTCACACCCTGTTGTAGTTGGCACCAGCTTTAAACACAGTTCACAATGTTGCTCAGTTCAGGGTTTATGAAGTTAAGAAGATCCTTCGCCTGGTGGAATTTTTCTTCCCAAATCACATTCTTTGCTGTTGGCTTACTGGAGTGAGCCTGCTAAATGGCTTCTGAGCTAAGGATGAAGGAGGCACAGGGAGGTATGATGTGGTGTTTCCTCTCTGGACTCTTTTGTGCATGGGAAAATATTTATATTTTTGACAATACTAAACAAACATCAAAGATCTGTTCTTCCCCAATAGGAGGCAGGCCTGGTCCTCATGACTCTTACATTTACACTGGGCATTTAAAATTGTTACCAAAATTAATTCCAGGCCAAGCAGTTCTTTGATTCTCTTCCAGTTCCCTTTTCCTTTTCTCCATATTGGCTTTTCAAATTATAGGTCTTGGGGACAGACACAGCTTGGAAAGTGTTTGCAGAAGAGGTGTCCTTAATTTCTATAGAAAAGAAATAGATCACTTCTAAAATCACTTCCGTGTGTGCACCACAGGCAGGGAGTGTGTGCTGGCCAGATGAACCAATTCTCTGTCTGTGAAACCTTTCCTCTCTTAACAGGCTGTGGGACGTCGTTTGATTTTCACAAAAAGATAGACTATTTGTTTCTCGTTGGTACTGAAGAGGGAAAGATCTATAAGGTAAGAATGGTTTCTCTGTCCCTTGCGTGCTTGTCTTTAAGGTTCATCCTCTCAACTGTTTGCCCAGGCAGCAACAAAGTACAGCTTCAGAGCCTGGCCCTGCCCTCACATCCCTGTGGTGATCCTGAGACCAGCACAGAGCACAGAGGGGCACAGGGAGCTCTCTGCACAGACCCAATTAAGACCTTATTTTGCAAAGACGTTTTTCATGCAAACTGCATCCCATAATGCTTTGCAGATTGCAGCTGTGCAAGTGAGGCGCTAACTGTGATCAGCGCAGAAGTTAAAAGGCATTGATCATCTGTCCTCATGGCTATGGGGAAATGGCAGGGAAAATCTCATCTCTTTTCCTTTTTTAGACCTGCAATCTCATCTGCGGACAGGCTAATGAAGCCCTGCTTCCTACAGATTGGTGTCCCGCAGGTCCCACAATTACATCCCAGATCCTTTCCCCAGTTGCACTTTCTCCTTGCCCTCCTACCTCCAGTTCCTCACTATCTACTATAGTCCTTCCTCCCTCTGACCACCTCCATGCTGTCTCCAGCTCAGTGGTCCCACCTCTGTGCTAGTACTCTTTGATTCCTGCAGGCAGTGCTGGCTTCCTCCCCTCCAGTGCCCTCCTGCAGCCTGATGCCTTCGTGCCCAGTGCCAGCTGTGAGCCATTACCAACCAGCTCCAGCTACATGGTGAGAGCAGCAGCCAAGCTTTGCTTGCCTTTCTAGGGGTAATGGCACTGTCCAGACGTTTGCACTCTACAGCCATCCCTTTTTATAGAATGTGTGAGCCCTTAACATTGCTGAGTCCCGTGTGCAGTTTTGGCTGAAATTGCCATTGGGGTCAAAAGTTGTTTGGGAGGAGTGACAAGCAGACAGCAGGACACAGGCGTTGTGTTTTCTTAAGAAATCAAGCTAAAAATAGGAAGTTTTGAGCTCTGCTGTATTTAGCCTTGAAAACAAAGCCAGTAGCTTCTTACTTCAATAACTTTTGTTTGCACAGCATTCCTCTGAGCTGGCTTTGAGTCTTTGTGAATGCTGTAGCTACAGACCTTCAGTGTGGGGGGTGGACTATCCACAGGAAGCTGATGTGCAGAGCAGATCCATCCAGCCATCCCTAGAGGATGCTGTAAGCTACTTCCCTGTGTCCTGCTTGCAAGAGAGAAACAAAACAGAGAAAAATAACCCAAAGGAAATAATATTCTGAAATAAATATCAATAATTTAGGCATGACAAGCTTAACAAAGTATCCCTTCCAGAGGGATGATGCTGATTGAAAACTCTCCCTCTACCAGACAGTATCTAGGGAGGATTTCTGAATGGTGCTCACTTTTATTGGAGAAGGCAGGAGCAGAAGGGAGGTGGGAGAAATAGAGGAGCTGGGCTGATGGGCAACAGACAGTGAGACAGGCTTTTTGTTGATACTTTCAGGAGACAAAGCATCTGTTCAGAGATGGGCAGTTGTTCTGAGTTGGCTGGTCACCCATGGCAGTTGGTACCCTAGGTGTTGTACTTCAGGTTGTTTGTGTACTGTTGTGTCTAGTCCTGACCAAAAGGCAGTAAGGAACCACTTGTTTTAGCTTCCTCTGTGCTTGGGTGAGAGATGGTTGTGAGTATGACAGTTGTGAGTGGATGGCAGTGTTACATGGGGGCCATCTGTTACTCTGCAGGAGAAATGTTCAGGCTGGTGTTCTGGCTGAGTTGCACAGCAAAGGAAAACCTTCATGGAGGAGGACTGCGTAGGAACAGAATTTGGCATTGTTTGCATTGGTAAAGGTGTTCCTGCCTTGGGTGATCTCCAGTGGAAGTAGAACTAGGATGGGGTTTTAACACAAGGAGTGATTCCAGCCGTGAAGCCAAGCTGATATTTTAACTACTTCATGAGTGGAGAAATGCAGAGAGATACAGTTACACAGTATTGTATTGGTGCTAAGGCTGATTTCAAGGTTATTGGTAAGAAACAAAACATTCCTGCATTAATGAGCCTTAGCAAAAAGTGGGACCACTCTCATGTTGTGCAACACTGCCCTATAAAACTCAGGTGCTCCCATGAGCAGGAAGAGACAAACTTCATCAGATTGTGTGGGATAACACAGGGAAGAGAAAACTTTTGTCTAGCACAAGCAGTATCCACAAAAGCAGGGGGGAAAGTGCTTGCACCTTTGGTGTCCCCCTCAAGACTTTGCTACAAGAAGTTTCAAAAGTTTTGGGATCAACTGCTGCTCCAAGACATTTCTCAAGGACTACCATGCACCTTTGTCACACCCTTTACAGGAACACTGCACATCTGAACTCTTTACTGGAGCTACCAGTGAGCTGCCTCCCAGAGCCGTGCTATACTCAGCTGCTGGGGACAATGACAGTCCCACACTTGTCTGAGCAGCTCTCAGCTCCTGTGCCTGCACTGAGCTGCTCAGGTCTCTGTGCTGCACTTGCCCTTGCCTGCTGCATGTTGAGTGCCAGGGACAGAGGTTCAAAATGTGCTGCTCTTCACATGAACCAAGTTTAGATTTTTAAAAAATAAATTGAAAAGTGAAATTTCAAGGAAGCATTTTCAGAGACCAGGCATGCCCACAAATAGTGTGATAATATGTTAATTCCTTAGCTTCAGAACAATTACAGAGAATTTTTAAAAACGACTTAGTTAATAGTGTTTCTGAAGCCAAGAAATCATTATCTTAATTGCACATAGACCTACGTATTGCCCTTTTACATAGAGGACAAACTGTTTCTGCATTAATATGATTCTGCAATACCAAAGTGCCTCTTTGCATATCTTATTTGCTGTTTAGGAGTTGTTCAGCTTTGGTATCCAGAAAAAAGGTCTCTGAGACTTGTATTGTTGTGGCTTTGACTCTTTGGTCAGAATTACTTCCTAATAAACAGGGCTTCAACAGAAAAATTGTGATGAGTTTTGAACACATTCATGTAAGAGAGGGTTTTTTTCCATCTTAGGCAGCTTGCTTGAGTGTAACAAATGAATATAATAAAACTCAGTGCAAGGCTGTATGGGAGGAAAAGGTGATTCTAATTTTAAACAGAACTAATTTCACTCATTCTCTTATACTAAGCACCAGAACATCTGTATCTGTGTGGTCAGGATGGGATTGCTTGTGCTTATACTAATGGTAAAGGATGCTGGCTATTAAGTCCTTATCACATCCCTTGTTTTTTTCTTAAATGATGATGACAAACTGATTTCTGGACAGGCTCTGACTTCCAGTGGCCCTTTGGTAATGGACAGATCATTTGCTTCAGCACCTCGTCTTGCTTTGTCTTAGACAAAGTTGTTTTCCTTGACTGGATATTTTATGGCTGGAGTTCTCTTCCTTGTCTTTTTGCCATCTTATCTTTGGGGCTTCTGTTCTGTCTGGTTATCTTGTCACTTGACTGACTGCACTTGCCATCAATTAACACAAGTTCTTTCCTTTACCATTTTCTGTTGTTTCTCCTGATGCATTCACAGCCCCTGTTTCCATTTGTAAGCCTTTCTACAGATCCCAGCGTTTCTGTTACAAATCTCTACAAAAAACAGGGAGACCCTCTGGTAACAGCTGTCCACGACAACAGTGTGTGTCATTTGTGTCAGTGATTTCTGAAGAGCAGCTGGGTGTCCTGGTCTGCCTGGGAGTCCCAGTGTTGGGCAATACTCTTTATGTTGCCACATAGAAACCACCTTTGGCAAAATTAGTTTTGGATTTCTGTATTGCCTAGAGTCTCAGTATTTCTGTTAGTGAACTAAAGAAACCCTCTACATTATAAGGACACTAATAACCACCCATTCACTTTGGGTGTGGAGGAGTTTTGTGTCAAGCTAATGTCTAATGTAAACTGAAGTGCTGTTAATGAAGATTACTCATAAGTTTTGTGTCCTTGGAATTCTCCTTTCCTCCCAGTATTCCTCCTATGTGCTCTGTAGCCCTGACACCAGTCATCTTTGTAGTCATTTCCTATATTGCCATAGACACATTCCT